CGCCGGTGTTGTCGGGTGCAGTGAGATGTGTCCTGCCGCCGAGCCGATCGAACTCGCACGCGGCGGGGTCCGCGCGCCCGGTGCTGCAGCTTCCGGACGATGTCCTGCGGCAATGTCAAAGGGGGCGGGTCAAAGCGCAGTCAGTGGGGAGAGGGAGGAAGAGGAACGCACGATGCTGTTCTCGGCCGTCATTGTGAACAGGCTAGCAGCAGACACTTCCCCACAAGGGACTTCTTCATGAGCTTGGCTCTTGCATGGTCAATCCTAGCCAGTGTAGAGGCAAACTTTGGCCTCTACCTCTTGAGGAACGCTCGTGACGCACTGACATGACCCGCTGCATGTCGACATCCGGAGAATTCCGATGCCCATTACATAAGGGCTGACGCTGTTTCTGTGCTCGGACTTGTAGAGCGCCGCGGCGTTGGTGTGCGATTCTTGAGCGTGCGGGTGGTGTGCGCCATATCTGAAATCTCGGCCCTTCTGGGGTCCAACATATGTAGCATACAGATTACATATGGGCAGCATAATTTACGATATGCATATGTACGCATATGATATGCCGTGCGTACGAGTAGGAGAATGATTACGGAGACCCCCATAATTAATCTTAAGATATGCTTAATCTGAGATTATAATGGTATGTAATCATAATTTTGGTGAGCACTAGTTCTGCCTCTCTCCGTCTCCTCTCCGTCTCCTCCCTCTCTCTTTGCTCTTTCACCTGCCTCTCTCGTCGACCACTCTCTTCTACCTTGTTCAGCTCCCTCATTCGTCTGATCATCTCCGCTAGCTCTGCCTGCCTCTGTGCCTCGCTATCGAGTCCCGGCATAGCATCGCGCAGCTTCTTCTCCTCACTCTGCGCCTTCTCCTTCGCCAGCCGGGCGCGTTCTTTGTCTCCTTCCGCCACGATGCGATGGGCGACGGCATCTCGTACCGCTATGTCCGCGTCGGACTCCGCGGAGCTGGCTCTCAGCATCCGGTCGAGCGCTTCCTGTCGGCACTCCTTCGCCACCTCCAGAGCCCTCTCAGCCTCAAATACAGCAGCCTTCGCGTCAGACAGCCCCTCCTTGGCGTTCTGCACATCAGATCCGGCCGCTGCTAGAGAGGCCTTAGCTGTACGTTCCTTGCACGTTGCCGCCGCAGCCTCTGCATGCGCCGCGTTTTCCTCGGCCTCTGCTTGCTCGCGCATGCGGGTCGCGTCCTTGAGCCTCTCCTGGAAGTCATCACTGGGTTTTGACGCTTCTCCGTGCTGCAAAGGCTCCTCTGTAGCTGTATATGCCGGTGCAGGCTCATCCGGCTCCTGCTCGGTTTGGGCCGCGGATGGTGTTGCTGTCTTCGGCTTCTATAGTTTTTGAAGTTAGGATCAATGAGAATGAAATCCACACCTAGCCTCAAAGGGAGAGACGTACAAGCTGCATGTCGCCGATAGTGGCTTTGCCCAGATCTGGCACCAGTCGGAAATCAGCTTGATTTCCAGGCTCGAAGTATCGAACATGAACGGTCAAATTTTTGACGACTGTGCCGTTGACCTCTGCAATAGCAGTGGCAGCTAATTGGCGAGTGAGAGTTAACCTTACGTCTTGCCGGTGCCAGCGTCGGCCGGCTAGGATAGGACAACACGTACCTGCTACTCTGCTAGTGAAGGAAATACAGCAGTGGCAGTGAAAGTTGCCCTCTTTGAGTAGTCGCTTGCTGCAGATTTAAGGTGAGCGTAATAAGTGCAGGGGGCAAATGTACTTGCCCATTCATCTCTCCAAACTTTCCCGCAATCAGTTAGACAGATAGATTCCCATGGTGACAGACCACTTGCCTTTCCAAATGTACTCTGAACATCGGCTTTTTTGAACAAACTACCCAGATTCTACATGGCTGTTGAGTATAAGCCGATACGACCTGAAAGGCCTACTCACAGTACACATCACGCTGTATGGCGAAAATGTTCGCAGCGCGAACGGTTGCATGTTTCCCAGGGCGGGGTGGAGCTGTTGACAGTGCGTACGTGCATACTCCGCGTCTTCCGCGCTCTAGTACTCAAGCACACAGGTCTGTTGCTGATAGCCCACATCAACGCCAGTATTAACGAGTACTAGCGGTCCGGCAGAACGGAAATAGCCGAAGAGTTGCTGGGCGCTGGCGGCCTGCAGGTTATGAACCGCTTTGGAGCCGGCCTTGACGAACTGCGCGCATACAGGCCACTCGGGTAGCACGCCGTCTAGAGATGATGTGTGCGATAGCGTTAAGGTCCAAGGGGCTGCTCCGGGGACGAGCGTGCCCTGCAGAGTGGCGAGGGCCATCTCAGCTACAGGATATTGGTAAACCAGACTCACTCTTTGGCTCAACCACGTACGTGCATACCATTGAAGATGTTTGAGAAACGAATCTTCCATGTCCTTCTTTGGTTTAGAGATACGTGCCAGTATGTGACCCAGGATACGTCCCCGCATGCTTTCAAAGCGCTTTCTAGTTGAGGCCACCCGATCCGATACGACACATCGATAGCATGGAGTATTGGCTCAGTAACGAGCGGATGCGGTCTATATCGTGGCGACTGGGTCGACATAACCCGTAGTTGGGGTGCGAAGGATTGGGAAGAGGAAAAGGATTAGTCGAACGTGAGGCACCGCTTAAGTGTGCTTGATGGCGGAGATCTCCCTCTAGGCTTTCCTATTTGAACCGTAATCGTATTAATAATACAGGCGAGCCACGTACCACGAACGCACTAGGAGAACAAGCACTAGCTACGCACTCTCAAATCCACAGCCCGATCAGACTAACAATCACATAGATTATTCGTCCCCCGCGCGGCGGAGGTGGGCGGGGCAGTAGTTTCGCAAACAGCGAACCTACCGCGCTGACTTTGATGCAAGCCAGAGCGGAGTGATCGCCTGTGCGACGATGTTACCCGCGTCCTCTAGTCGCTTCCGGAGGCCTTCATCGAGGACCGTATTCAAGAGCCCCCGCGACCTCCACTTATCCGGGTGGAATCGCCGATGCGCTTTTTCGACCATCATCTTGTATTCACTCTCCGCGAGGGAGAGTTTAGCAGCAGCAAAAAATTGCTCAACCGCACTCCACTCGATGCCATCAAACGTGAGGTCGAGCGGGTAGTGCAGCATCGGCCAGGGTACGCTCTCGAATGTCAGGGGCTGCGCGTCACCGAACTTGATCTCGTCGAACTCGATGCAGAGTGTATGAAAGCGGCGGATGCTGAGTTGACGCGTCCAAAGACGTCGGAAGATAAGGTCTGCGCGGATGCTCCACTGCACAGCGTCGCGTTGTTGGCACCGTGTGCGCTCCTTCGCTGCCGCGTTGCGGTAGAGTCTGAGTCGCCGGGCCTCGAGTGTCATCCGCTCCTGCTGCTCGCGCTCTTTGCGCTTCTGTTCTGCCAGGGCCATCCTCTCTGCTTCTTCTCGCGCAAGCCTCTCCGCCTCCAACCTCCGTCGCTCTTCCTGTTCCTTCTGCAGCCTTGCTTGCCGCTCTCTCTCGCGACGATCCGTTTCCTCCTGTTCTCGCATGATCTTCATCTTTCGAATCGAATCTCGGAGCTCGGCATCGCGCTTTGCTTCTTGTCGTCGCCTGTCTCCTTCTTCTCTCCTGGCCTGCTCGCGCTTCAGCTCCTCCCTCCGCTTTGCTTCCTCCCTCTCGTATTCGTCGAACGCTCGCCTTGCCGCCTCCCGCTCCCGCGCTTCCATCTGCTCCGCCTCTTCTCTGCGCTCTGCTTCTTCTTGCGCCACCTTCTCCCACCAAAGTCTATCCAATCGACTCTTTCGCTCTCTCCTGGCCTGCTCACGCTTCAGCTCCTCCCTCCGCTTTGCTTCCTCCCTCTCATATTCGTCGAACGCTCGCCTTGTCGCCTCCCGCTCCCGCGCTTCCATCTGCT